GTTATATATGTCCAGGCACATGCCAAATTCAACAGATTAGAGATTAGATATTTATTGTTAGCATGAGAATATTTTTTCCAAGTCACAAGTATAGTAAAGTCAACATACTTTAAAAAACAAATAAATGGAGAAAATAAATTTCAACATTGCATATTATCAACAGACTCAGATGTAGTAGAATGAAATAATGAACTTCAATCTCTAAAACAAGGCAGCATTGTTATAATAAAAAGGAGTTGCTGTAGAACAGCATGTCAATAAGATATATATGTTTTTGTATCCAGCTTCTAAGCCTAATTCAGAACTGTCACTAGAGAAAACCACAAAAAGACATGACAGAGTCAAAGAAAAGGAAGCTGCTCTTCTGCCTCTTTCTACATGGAGGGCTCCAGCTGTCTGCTCTATACTTGATACCAAGTTTATTATCTCTGCATGGCAAAACAGGAGATATTTGCTTTCTTTTAGTTTAGTGGCATCTGGTAACATCTGTGATTAAAATAGCAATTTTGATTAAAATTAGGTCTCATTAATTTAACATAATGGTAGGGCATACACAGTACCTTTTGAATAGCCAATTAAAAACAGAGAAAATGTAGAAGATGATTATGAGGGAAATACTGATAAATTACTGACCTTTATGGGCTATAAATGAAACCTGAGCTAAACATAATTTATCCTTATTATTGTACAAGCTTTATAGTCGTGAAAATGACTGTTAGGTATAATGTGTTTTCTTAATAGCTGAAATAACTAATAACAAGCAAGCAGAGAAAACAAGAAAGCCCTATAAAGTAATCCATGATCTGACTTCTTTTATCCCTACAATGTGTGTGCATTTTCTGTCTTCTATATGACAGATTTATTTGAGTTTGGGAGAGGTGGGAGGAAAGAAGGCAGAGTAAATTTAGTCCAGAAGAAATGAAATGTAGAGCAAAGCCTAAACAATAGCTAAGCAGTATACCTTAGCCCACTATAAGGCTAATATAATAGCAAGCCGATTTATTTCTATCTGCCCCTTTGTTTAATTAGAGATATAAACTGAATGCAGTTTAAGAAGATGTATATAAGGTCAAAGAATGTTATCTGCATTTATTATTTATATCTATTGGTGCTGCAATACTGCAAATAGAAGCTTCTTGAACTAGTAAGTAAGACCTTGAACTAGTAGCCTCAAAGAGGATTTTTTTTAGCTCATATTAGTGTTGTTTGTGACAGATCCTATTCAAGCTTCCTTTGTGTTGGTGCTTAAAAAGACACTTTCATGTATTTAAGAGCACGAGTATGTTTATCTATGGAATGAGAAGAATTTTAAAAACTGCCTTTAAAAGATTGTTATTAAGAGTTTGCAAGTTGAAATACGTGTGCTGCAAGTAGAAAAAAAATTAAATGACTATTGAAATCACACTACCATCTAATTTATATCATACAAGAAAATGCCCTTCTTGTGCTGAACTGACAGATAAATGAGTGAAGTAGCCCAGTCCTGTCCCCATAATTAAAATGTTGCCTCATGATCTATGTATAAAGACAAGGGCTGTATTCCACATGCTGGGGTTAAAAATATCCACTGACTCACTCTGTGTTGAGAGACAGTTATCAGTAGCTGAAAGGTGACATCTTGATCTTCTTAAATCTGTCCTTAAAAACTGTTTGCATTAATGACCATAAGTCCTTTTAATGAAAAATCAAATTGTTGGTCCAGTGATAGAAGATCATTTATTCAGCTGTGCAAAGAAAGGAGCTAGGATGATGCCTGCAGACACTCTCTGAGTTTTCTATAGGAGCTAATAATGTATAGTAGAGAGATGATAAACAGCTTTCCTTAAAACACCCCACGTCTTAACTGTATTGTTAGTCCTGCTCTGCCTTGGGCACAGCCAACATCTGAGGTATAAAACTACCTATTTGTCTTTGAAGTGGTGTTGGTCTGTGTACGGATATGTAGGGGTGGAAGGTACTCAAAGCCTCAGCCCCAGAAAGACGACAATCAACTGCAGTGGCTTTGGTCAGTACTTTTTACTCATGTTAAGCTCTGGACTGAATGTAAGGGAGCTTCTTCTCCTCTTCTCAAGGGCAAAGGTAACCAAATTAGTACAACCAGTATATCCTTCCAGTGACTGCAGTAGTATAGACTTGAAAGGGAGCCATGTACACTGATCCAGGTAAAAAGATTTTGTACTGGTTTCTGTTGCTATCTCTAACGTGAGTCTAGCCAGCTTCTCCTCTACTTTGTCTTGGGGCAAGCTACCAGTAAGTTAAGCTAGTCTGCTCAAGGTTGCACATGGGGCAAAAGCATTCACACCCTTAAGAAGAGCTACAAGACCTGTAAGGAGCAGCTAACTCCTAGCTGTTTGGTACCAGCTCCCCTCAATCCTTAGCTGTGATGGATGAACTTAGCTTATGTTAACACAGCTGATGAAGACCATATGAGCAGTGTGTACAAGTATGAAGAAATGAGCTCTGGATGGAGAGTGGAGGTGCTTAACTGGGTCAGCATCCTCAAGAGCTGCAAAGAAGAGTGAGTGCCCATCAGACATCTTAAGCTTTATCACCATGGATTACAGCTGTGTTCACAGGACTTGAGAATCATGTACTGTATGTTACTGGTCAGAGTAGTAACCATCTGCACTGACTACATAGGCCCTGCCCCTTCTGCAGTGGCAGGAGAAGGTTGTGTCTCCATCCTACATGAGACAGGACTTAATGAATATGCAAGGTTGGCCTGACAGGACCTGCTCCCTGCCCAAGTGATGGACTGCCACCAGCAGTTTCTTCTTGCAAGGTGTATTTTGAGGGCTTTCATGAGGGCCCAGTAGTTTCAACCTGAAGAACTACCTAAACAGCCTTGTCATCAAGCGACTCAATTTCCCTCTCTATCTATACCTAAACACACAGCTATCGTTTGATGTGGGAGGCTCTTTGGAGAGACGATGGATGACAAGACACTGCTTTTGCTATGGCTGTCAAAACAACTCAGCTGGCCACCGAGTTCCCAGCACTGTCAGAGAAAGAGTCTACTGTTAGAGATAACATCACAGCAGGAAAACGCGCCATCCTAATCAGCAGCAAATGGTCTAACAAACAACTTGTAGTGTACATGGCATGTATTTCACAAGCATGTTTTCACAAAGAGTAGTTGCTGAGTATTAGACCTTTTATGTTCTGTATACTTTATAGGCTTTCCAGAGGCAGGAGGTTGAAGCAGATGTCCTGTACAAATCAAGGCACTCATTAGTTCTGATGTCCTTTGAGCAGTTGTTCATTTTTTGTGCTCAGTCTGTAAAGGACTGTATTTCGAGGACTGCTGGAGGCCATTTTCACTGTAAAGAGGCCTGGGATGGACTTTTAGATTATTAGTTCCTGTTTTAAATGCAGAAACTGCTTTTAGCAAAAACCTTTCCAATTTGTTTTTTTTTTCTTTATCTGTCCTGCTGTTGTGTGAGTCTGCTTGAGCCACATTAGAGCAGCATGGTCCTGCTTGTGATCCCTTCTGTTTTAAGTGTGGTTGCCACTCAGTGTGAGGGAAATCTTTGAAATGGATGCTTCTCCACTGCATACTCTTGTTTTTCAAGTAATTTTAGAGAAATTATAAATATTCATGAAAATTGGCTTTTATATTCTTGCTGAATCCGAAATTTATTTATTACCTAGGTATCTCATATGTAAAGAACAATTTTCTGAGCACCAAAATTCTTAAAATCATTCAGAATTCTTTTTTCTGTTCAGATAATGTCCAGAACAGGCAAAGAAGTTAAAAAATCACGTGAGCATTATTTGATAATATTTACTGTATTTAGTGAGATTAAATACTTTCTCACACTGAGAGAGAAAGTAACACAAAACAGGCTCAAGCAGAGAGAAGAGCAAACTGCATTAAGGTACCAACATCTATGGTAATGTATTGAGATTCTGTGATTTTATGTATTAAAATTTCCCAGGATTGCAGAGACAGGCTCCTTCACTAGCAGTTGTTCCAATCATTTTAATTATATTGAAAATGTAAATGTACAACACTGAATCCTGCTGTATAAGTTGGCATTGAATAGTAAGATATCCCAGAAATCTTATTACAGATTTCAGACTCTTAAATATTTTTATCCCTTTACTGTGTGGGAATCAGGTTCCTTAATTCCGGCTTCTTTATGTGCTTCTTTATGTTCTTATTCAGGATTTTTGTTTCCTGGGCAGGTAACTAGTGGTTCCTAAAATATACTTCCATTTGAAAATCTCAAGGATATTTCACAAATATTTGGTGTTTTTTTTTGTTGTTGTTGTTGTTTTTGTTGTTTTTGTTGTTATTTAATCACAGGTTTCTCAGTTTGTTGCTGGGTGACTCTGAAAAGACTAATTAATGATTGTTCTTTGTAACACCTCCTTGAGAAAGCCTTTACTTAGGGTCCGCTGGCAAGAAGACTGAGCTTTCTGTGCTGCAAACAAAGTGCTTATTTATTTTTTCCTTCACAGGCATATGGAACTATATTTTCAAGGAATTAACTGTCCCCACTGGGGACAGATTTTTCGTAAGTGCTCTGCATGCGGAAACTGTTTGATTTATCTGGCCAGATTTTTTAAAAATCTGGCCAGCTTGTGTATTATGAACCTTCCTGCTAATTGGGCCTAAATGACTGACTCAAAGCATATGCACAAACTGCAGGAAAACTGCCCTCAGTCTTTGACCCTTGATCACCTGAGGTGCGAAACAGGTGGAGAACAGCGTAGCTCTCTGTTGGCCAAGGTTTCCTTCCCATGGATTTGGAACATACATCTGAATCAAAGATCAAGGCAGTGCTATTGGACATTAGTGTATTAGCTCTACAGGATTACTGGAATAGTCATGAGCAGAATAGTCCAATAAGCTGTCTGATGAATGACATAAGCACTTGAATATATTTTCTGGCTGGTAAAAAAGTGCCATTACTGCTGCCTTCTGTGGAATCCACCTAGAGTTTTAGGGTAAATTGTTAACAGGCTCATTTGTTGATTTTTTTTCTTTTTCTTAGCTCCTAGATTGTTTTGTCATCCCGGTGGTGATACTGCTATCCTGGTTCTTCCTTCTGGTACGATACAAGGCAGTGCATTTCATTGGGATCGTGGTCTGCATTCTGGGCATGGGCTGCATGGCAGGAGCAGACGTCCTCGTTGGGAGACAGCAAGGAGCAGGTGAGTAAGGATGGATATATTGTACAATTGAGTTCTCTTTCAGAGGAAGGATTGTCCAGAAAATGTCCAAAAGGAAAAAGATAAGGGAAAATCTCCGAGCAATTTTGTGTCCTCATGGATCCAAAGCACTGCATCACTTATTTGTCAAAAGGGTCAGGAAACAAAAATGGGCCAATGTTTAGAAGTCATCCTTGTTTCCCATCCCTGATCTGACCTGGTGGATGCACTGGTTCTGCAAAACATATCACCTACCGTGCAGGCCACAGGGAAAAACTGAATACTTGTAGTTCCATTTTGTTTCAGCTTAGCTTATTGATCACAAGTCTCAATTGCTTCCTTCTAAACTGACTGCATCTCTGAATCATAAGCACCCTTCCCCTCCACGTATACTCTTACTTCTCAATTTTGCTCCTTTTTTGTACTTAACCGGCATCACTGGTTAGACATGAAATTATACCTAGCCTACATTGTACAAACTCTGTTATGCGCTGTCTCAGAGTAAAGATTTCATTTTTGCCTGTATCATTCCAGAAAAGAAGCTTCTTTTGTGTAAAGTGTTCTTTTTCTATTTGTGGCAGCATATGAATAATGTGTGTTTAGCTATTAATGCAGACTAGACTGAGTTAGATTTCATCGATCAACTTCCTCTGTCACACTGATTTTTCTAGTGCCAAACCAAATGATGGGGGAAGGCTGGAAATTCTTTCTAAAGGTTGTCAATTAGGCACAGTTTTCATTCTTAATTAAAAGCACTGAATTGTGAGTTGAGCATAATACACTGTGATTTAAAATTCTTGACTCAACCTTCTGAATACAAATAGAAGTGCTGTAAAAACACCATTTGTCAGGATATTGCTGAAAAAATCAGGGACATTTGTGACAATACCTACCATGTCTCCCTGCCCCCTTTTTTCCCTGACTTGAAGATTTCCACTTCATTTCTGTCCTCCAGAAATAGCTCTGCTTTAGCTATAAAGAGAAGAATATACCCTGTACTGTGAAATCAGCCAGTGAGAGCTGCATTAGAAATGACTGATATCTTTGGCGTTGGGATTTCAGCCTTTACTTCCAGAGGAAACATCCTGAGTCCTTTTAATCTAGCTAACTATCTGCTAGGGAGAAGGAGCACACAGGACAATGGACCTCAGTGGAAAGGCACATAAGGAACAGAATGACCTAGACGCATTGCCATCTACCTGCAGTAATTAGATATTGTTGCCATTTCATTTTTAAGGAAAGGTGGATGTAGCTGTAGGTGAATTTGTTCAGGAAAATCTGTGAGCTGCTCTATTGGCTTCCAGTCCAGATCTACACATAAAAGCTTGTATTGGTGCTTATTGGTATGCAGAAAGGAGAAATAAAGCCAAAGGTCTTTCATAAATGGAGACTGCAGCTGCTTGAAGTGTTAGATCAGTGTAATTAAGGTGCAAGAAAGTATTTCTAAATTACTACACCCTCTTTAAGGGAGTAAAATACATGGCTTGATTTATCTGAAGGTAATTGAAATATACATTAAAAACTGCAAATCAAAAATAAATATTGCCAACAAAAGAAAATATTTCATGAAACTTCATTACAGATATACAGTACTCTAAGCATAATTTACAATGGAGAAAAAAAGGGGAGTAATGCACCAAAGAGAAGTAGAGTTCTGTTAGTCCTCAATAAACTCCTCTTCACATGATCTTTTACATGATCTGATGACATTTCTTTGCTCGTTTATATTATTATTTACTCTCTTAGAAGTGCCATAAGCCTGTGATAGGCACTTACCACATACAGCAATCTAGCCTCCAAGCCCCAATTTTGTAGTGCATCACTGAGATACTATGATATTTTCCAAAGTGAAAATTGCAAGCATGCTCTCAACTTTCACAAAATGTACAGTCTAAATGTATTATCTATTTTAACTGTATCCTAACTCAAATATAGAATATAGCACATTGTCAAAGGAAAAGAACAATTACTACCATGTAGTTGGTGCACTATCAGGTTACAAGCCAAGTTTTCCTTAAAATGTTTTTTTTCTCAATGATTATCCCAAGGCAGCTCAGTAGCTGCCCTTATATAATAAACAGAGCTGTTAGTATTACACTGAGATCTTTTCAAAGCATTTATAATTTTGGATAAAAAGAAGCTCTGAAAAACAGTCACTTCAATCCATGTGATAAGCTGATATATCAAGTCTAAGATTGGACACTTTGAGTCAAATTTATAGAGATTAGAAACATCTACAATTATAACTGAAAGTAAACTGAACCACCTTGAGGTGTGAGTTCAAGTAAAAAGGTGACCAAATGGCCTGGTAAGCATGTGAAAAGCAATCATGTCAGAGTATAGTTTCAAATTATTTTATTACACTTCTCTGTTCTAATTAGTCCTCTCTGGACTGTATGGTTTTTGTTTCCACAACACAGTAACTGTCCTAACAACGAAGAATGCAAAACTTGTTTGGCCAAGTTGCGCGTTGTGTTTCTTCAGAAGAATGGCCTATACCTTCAGATAGTTTAAGTACAACCGTATTATCCTAGATGTCTTAGAGCTAAATATGTCTTTAGAACTCCTCTGTTTGATTGGCACATGCTTCCTTAACAATGAAACCAATAGATGCATCAGGATTTTAGATCCATGAAAATATCTTTATTAGGATATGCTAGTGCTGGGACAAATTCCGAAGGGAACCTCTTGAATAATCAAAGACAAGACATTTGAAAGTCAAGAAGACAGGCATTACTAGGACAGAAACGGAAAGCATAGCCACTATCAAGACCTTTGATGCATCTCCCACTTGAATACCATGTGCTTGGTAACCTTAACACAAAAAGAAATGCCCCCCAAATAAGTCTATACAAGCAAAGCAAAAAGGACAACAAAGGTCTTAAGGAGCATGAAAAGACTTCAGAATTGAAAGACCCTAAATAAGATGAATGAAGAGATTTCTCATCTGCTGAGAATTGACAGATAGAAATCTCACTCAGTCTTTATGTTTTCTTCAACTATACTGAACTGCCCAGTGTCAGAAGCAGATCCTGGGCTAGGTGGACTTTTGCTGTGACCAGTTTTAACATTTTCCGTCTTTGAAAGCTCTTAAGTTTCATGCTCCCACTCACAGCGCATGGGTGCAGGTTGGGAGAGCCATGGCCTCCAAGCCTTCTGTCTTGCATAAGCAAAGGATGATATTTTTGTCTCAGCAGTTCAGCACAGCCAAACTCGAAGGTCAAAAGCTTTTTCAGAAGTGCCTCCCCAAAGTGCCAGTGAGTGCCACCGAGTAGCTGTCATAAATACCAAATGCGTGAACTCAGTAAGGGATGATTAGAGCCCCTGTGAACATCAAAAGCATTAGGGATATGAATAGGTTTTGAAAGTGCAGATGCTTATTTTAAATTAAGGGCATCTTCCATGGCAGATGAAAATAAAAGGAAGGTAAAAGGAACATAAGTATCATCAAATTTTAGAAAGATAAATGCTCTGCTATAAATATGCTCTCCAACAAGGTGCATGCAAACCAGAAATTCAATAGGAGACTGACTGAGTACATGGAAGACAAATCTAGTAACCTTTACTGTGATGTTTACACAGAAGCCACATCTCCTTTGAGCTGAACAATTTTGGAGACTGGGAGAGTATTGGTGGGAGTATTCTAAACATTTGGCTTCTTATTATTTGTCTCTAAACAACTTAGTCTTATGGTGTTATAGGCAATATTAGAGGTGAAGTATTGGGATAAATGAACTTTTGGATTGATCGGCTGTGACCGATTCTGTAATCATAAATTCCTTCTCACTAGTAATTTCAAAACCACAAGTTGAAACAAGAATAGAAGGCTTGAAATAATGACAAAAAGGAAAATTATGAAGAACACTTTGAAATAATCAGAATGTTTTGCTTCAGTTTTGATCATTTTTATATTCTACAATGTGTGTTATGCAAATTAATAACTATATCAAAAGATATTTCAAAAGAAAAAAAAATCTCAAAACTGCAAAATCTAGCAATTCAGCTTTTTTAACCAAACTTTTTCAAAGGAGATTCCTTAATAGCCAGTCCTGTGGAATAGGTCCTGTAGCAATATTTGACAGTTCTGCAAAGCTGTTCTTCTGTTGAGAGGGTCGTATGTGCAGAGGGAATCACATATATCAGTTGACAGAAGCAAAGCCCAAGTTTTCAACCTTGAACTTGTTAAATCTCTCTGCAGGTTTCCACCCCCACTCACACCCCAAATAATAATAAAAGCCTCCAAGACTTAACAAAGGTATCAAACATTCTTTGATCATCTGGTGTTTTAGTAATGATACATACCTGGAAATATCTGAGATTGATTATGTTCTGTCCATTTCATGCATTTGGTATTGCCATGCTAATTAAGCCTCTTAAAAATCTCTGTCATTATCATCACACTATCTACATCCCATCCTTCTTCCTCTCTTTCTTGTCAGATTGTTTTGTGTTACAATGAGGTCCTTTAACTTGCATAGCCTAAAGCATAGGGTTTGCAATGATTTCTTCACTCGTATCACAGGTATATATAGAACTTCTCAACTGGTTTCCCATCTAAATCCTAGTCTTGTTTTGGACTACTTTGATTGCAACATCAGATGTAAACTGTTTATGTAGCTGACTCCCATTTTAGCTGAAAAAAAAAAGAATGATAACAATAAAAAGGATTAGTCAGTGAAAGCTACAACTTGGTTTCTGTATTTTTCACAAATTTATCTTATATTTTGGAGCTTCTTATTGACACAAAAGAGGTTGCTCTGTCTTTACTAGGTTTGCTTGGGGTATTGAGTGAAAAATGGTAAAATGACAAAACATTTGCATTCTATTAACATGGATATGGTCTACTTCAGTAACTCAAGATTCAGAACTGTGAGGAACTTGCAGCAGCTACAGAGAAAAGATTATTGTTTTGAGACCTGCTAATTTTTACCCTGTTTATCCCTAGGTGAAAATAAACTGATAGGGGATCTCTTAGTGCTGGGTGGAGCAACACTGTATGGCATCTCAAATGTTTGTGAGGAGTATATCGTCCGAAATCTGAGTCGAGTGGAATTCCTGGGCATGATCGGACTCTTTGGCTCCTTCTTCAGTGGAATTCAGCTGTAAGTGAGCAGGTTTGATCACCAAGGTCATTTAATAAAATGCAGTGGTTGCCTCCTTTGTGGTACTAGAACACTTTCTTCAATGCTAACCATTTCATGTGGAAAGCAGGGGCTTTTATTTCAGGAATTTGCCTTGGCTTTGGTATTTGGATTCAATAGAAATTTGCATCTGAGTACGCTGATGATTGGTTTCCTTGAATTATCACATGAGGAAGGAGGGATAGAATATGCATCCCACCATCTTATTGCTTTCTGGCCAGTGGAAACTTCGGAATCTTCTCATGTTGATCTATGAATAACAGATTAAAATTCTCTCCACTTCTGTTTCATAATTTTGAAAAGATTTCTAACCAGGTAGAAAACATGCCCTGTCAGAAAGTATTGGTTCATTCCGTATTATGAAAGGAGCAGTGAAAATGTTCCTAAGAACTTCTGAGAAACTTCTGAGTCATGTCTATACACAAATGTAGTCAATGCACGTGTTACCTGCAGGCTCAGTAGTTGGAGGGTAACTTCCAGTGTTATAACACTGTGACTGGTAAAAATATAGTAAAACTCATTATGTAATATTTCCGTGTTTTATGCAAATCCATCTCTGGTGCTTATCATGGAAAATAGCTTTCGATTATTAGTCAAAACCAATTTGTTTTACTACAGATCTGGGCTACTCAGCTTCTAAGGGCAACAAGTGAGTAAAACAAAGACACATTAACTTCCCCTTCAGTAGTTCTACTTCTTTAGCAAAAGAGCTTCTTATTTTTATGTGAGATTTAAGTACATAACCTAAAATGACTCATTAATTGCCTGCCACCCAAGCAGGTCCCATTTTCAAAAGAAAAACAAGAACTCAGAAATGTGTCTAACATCCTCATGGAAAACATTTTTATTACCTAAGGGCATCAAAGCAGTGCTCTTGTCTTGCTGTGTGTGTTTAAATTGTCATGTATATGTCTTGTATTTCTGAATTTTAATTACAATACTATTACACCCTCTTAATCTAAGCAGATAGTCACAGTTCAGGGTCTCTGAGTTATTTTGGAGGGAATAAGAAGGTGACACTGGAAATAGGCATCTTTGTATGCAGAGGCCATGGCTGGAAGGAATCACTGAGAAACAGGTTCTTTGCTTAAATAATATATCCGTTAATGACATGCACTGATATAAAAATAAAATAGTAGAAAAAAAACACATTTCATTTGCTTTTTAATTCTTGTGTATATACAAATATCTGCACAGTACAAATGATTCTTATTACTTCATATTTTGACATTAGAACTATGTCTTCAAGAGGTGTTTCAAGAAACAGGCTCTTGTTATCTAGAAAAGGGTGTTTGATATTATACATGAAATAAAGCCAGACAGTGCCTGTTGGACAAGTGATAGGCTAAGGTGTCAAAATAAATAGTAAAGAAAAAAGCTGGCCTTGTGGAAAGTGAATGATTAGTGTGTTGAATGTGACTAAAGTTAGAAGGAACAGGATATCAAAATGAGGAGAATGACAAGATGACATAAGAGAATGTGACAAGGAATTAGGAGTATAGCAGTTGCCCAGCAAATGAAGAGATAATGCTGCCTGATGAAATCACAGCATTGTAGAATAATTTACTTTGTAAGGGACCTCTGAAGCTCATGTAGGTCACCCTCTACTCAAAGCACCTCAAAGCTAACTTTTAAAACATAGTTAAATCAGGTTGTTCATGAGCTTGTGTAGTCGGTAGCTTCAAGGAGTGAAATTCCACAGTCTCTTTAGGCAATCTGTTCCAGTGTTTGACCAAGATTTTTTTCCACATATCTAATCAGACTTTCCTAGTTTGAACTTGTGTCCATTGCCACTCATCATTTTGCTACAGACCTCCAAGAAGAATTTGCCTCTATCTTTGTTTTCTACAGCCATCCATTTGGTAATTAAGACAACAACTATATCTCCCCGCACTTAGCCTTCTCTTCTGATTGAACAAACCCAGCTGCCCCAGTATCTCCTCTTGTCATGTCTTCCGGCCCTCTGACCATCATGATGGAATTCCATTGTTCTTCCTGCAAACTGTCATTATCTTTTCTCTTCTGAGGAGTCTAAAATTTAAATTCTCTATTTGCTGTCTCAAAAATGCTAAGCAGAGAAGAATAATTTCCTTCAGCCTGCTGACTACAATGCTATTAATGCTGCTGAGGATGCTCTTGGCCTCCTGCACTGCACACTGTTGATTCATGTTCATCTTGATGTACATCAGGACTCAAAAATTAATTTCTGCAAAGCAACATTTTATGCAGACTGTCCCAGCCTGAACTGTTGCATGGGATAATTCCATCCATTCGTCTAGGTCCCTCTAAATGGCAGCGTTATTTCCTGCTGCCTTGTGTGTTGTCCTCTGCAAACTCCCTGAGGGTGCATTCTGCCCCATCTTCCAGGCTGTTCATGAAGATGTTAAGCAGTGTCAGACCTAGTGTCAACTCCCAAGGTACATCACTAGCAATCAGCAGACAGCAAATTTCAATCTGATGATCATACTCTTTGAGGCCAGTATTCTACCTGTTTTGTGGGTAATCCACCCATGTAGTCCGTATCTCTTCAATCTCTGAGGATGCTGTGGGAAACCTCTCCTCAATCACAGAATCACAGAATATTTAAGGTTGGAAGGGACCTCTAGAGATCATCTAGTCCAACCTTCCTGCTCAAGCAGGCACACCTACAGCATGTGACACAGGGTGGCATCCAGGCGGGTTTTGAAGACCTCCAGAGTAGGAGACTCCACAACCYCCCTGGGCAGCCTGTTCCACTGCTCTGTCACCCTMACAGKAAAGAAGTTSCTCCTCACCTGGAGACGGAACTTCYTRTGYTYCAGCTTGTGGCCATTACCCCTCGTCCTRTCRCTGGCCACCAGTGAAAACAGCTTGTCCCCTTCCTCCCTGCATTCTCCCTTCCTGAACTTATACATATTAATCATATCCCCTCTGAGCCGTCTCTTCTCCAGAGAAAACAGGCCCAGCTCACTCAGCCTCTCCTCGTACGAGAGATGTTCCATTCCCTTAATCATCCTGGTTGCTCTTCTCTGGACCCTCTCGAGAAGCTCCACGTCCCTCTTATACTGGGGAGCCCAGAACTGCACACAGTACTCCAGGTGCGGCCTCACCAGAGCTGAGTAGAGAGGCAGAATCACCTCCCTTGACCTGCCGGCAACATCCTCCTGATGCAGGCCAGGATCCCATTGGCCTTCTTGGCCACGAGAGCACACTGCTCACTCATGGTTAACTTGGTGTCAACCAGGACTCCCAGGTCCCTCTCCGTGGAGCTGCTTTCCCCTCTCTTCTATCTTCTGAACCAGTCATTTTATTTTAGAGGCAGTCAGTTTGTACAGGTATGAAATCTGTGCTGGTGATTCCAAATCATTTCTGTGTCCTTCATGTCCTGGAAGTTGTTTCTAGGAAGATTTGCTCAAAAATCTCCCCAAGGGTAGTATAAGGACTGTAGTCCTTTGCCGTTTTGAAATTGGTGCTGTATTTTTCTCCTTCTGGTCAAGACCTCTTCCAGTCACTACAATCTTTCAAAGATGATAGTGGTCCCGTCATCCAGTGAACATAGCATCACAGAATGAAGCCTTCTAGCAAAGCTACTCTTACCCCTCTTTGCTTCACAGACCATTGTGAATCACAGACTGCAGAGTATTGTCATATACTGCCTTCATATTGGCTAGGCAATGGTATGAAAACAATGCTTGTATATTTAAGTTATATCAAATTTTTATTTACTAGAACAGCAGCAATAGATGCTACTGTTGGTTTTAATTGCATTCCTTAAGAATTGCTGATAAATAAATAAATATATGTATATATCTAATGCATGCAAGCAGGCCTATGATTTAGTTGTTGTGCAGACTGAATAATCTCATTATCCTAGACCCAGAATTAGATTTGACACACATCAATAGCAAGTAAAGCACAATTTCCAGGATGCAACTCTCCAGACAAGATTAATCTGGGAGGCATTCAATTCCTGCAGTTTTACTGTTAGACTAGGTGCCACTTTTTGAACTAGATACTTTGTTTTTCAATCTGTGTAATTCCATGTTTTAGATTTGTTTAAAATAGTGTCCAGATTAGCATGTTCTGCACAGCAGGAATCATGTGCCAATCACAGCTCAGAGAAGGTGGTTAGCTGAGTAAAAAGCAGGCTGGTGAGAATCCTGGTCTGCAAGAGTACTTCCCTGGGTTGGGAAGACCTGACTTTATTGCCATCTTGCGATTTTCTGGATCTGGGACTTGGTGGTTAATGCCATGTAATATATACAAGAGTTGAAAGTGGACTTTTGCAGCTGGGCTGTTTTTGTTTTGTTTTCTGATTTTTGCTGCTCTGACTATATGATCTGCCTCTCAATATGTAACAAATCACAGTGTTCTTCCCAAAGTCAGCCTATGATATCTGCCACCTCATATCAGTGATTTACTCAGCTATTTATTTGACACTGCAGAACCACTCTGAAGAGTGAATAGCTCAGACAGATGCATTATTAATCATTAAAGTTCAAAAGCTTTCAGAATATTAAGTCAGAAAACGACAAGAAGAATGAACATATAAGGACATGGTGGACATGGGGGTAGATAGTTAGAGGGCTGGAAATAAAGCAGGACAAATTGTATGCTATCATGTCTGATTACTGCCCTGAGGATCTTTGAAATGCATAGGCACAGGGATAATGCCAGAGTGGATTAGCTAAGTCTGATTGCATTTACTTTCTACTGCGATTTTTTTGTTAGAGAGTTATTTATGTTGTTTTGACCAGCATTTGAATTGAATGAGTGGAAGTAATTTAACTTCTGTTCTCTTCCATAAAATTTTGCCTTCTTTTGTCTTATAGTGCGATCATGGAACACAAAGAGCTATTGAAAGTTCCCTGGGATTGGCAAATAGGTAAGAAAATACTTCACCTCACTAAAAATGGTTGCTGAAGAACACATGGGACCAGTCAGTATTTATGAAGGCAGGCATGAAGCTGCACAGGGGACAATATTTGTGACCTTTTCACTCACTACTGCCAAAGGTTGACCCACGTGCCTCATAACCTTGCTCAAATGATCTGTCCTCCCTTTGTCCTATTATGCCTTCTTTGAACCATTAGGCTGGACACTGGAAAAGTGAACAAATGTAACAGGGTAATCATTCAGACGGCAGTGAAGGGAAAAAAAAACAGTAGGGTTCCAGCTTTAAGATTCAGGGCAACACTGAGACAAATAAATGAGGTAGTCATTAAAAGCTTGCTTTTTCAATGAGTGCAAAAGAAAGAAAATGGAACATAAAAAGATAAACAGGAAAAATCTGCTATGGATTTTATAGCCCCAAACCTCTTTTCCAGTGGATGCATATCTTTAGGCAAATGGTTTATTGTTTTCCAAGTAGTTTTGACAGCATACAGCCAAGGTACATGGTGGATTTTAGGTGGCATCATGCACAATCAAGTTTTTATGATGTTTCAGTATTCAGTGAATTGCCTTTCCCCATTTCTGTTTGGAAACTTGGTTTGTGATTTAAAACTCCCTTCTATTCTTCTATTTTTTTTTTTAAAGCAAACCAGCCTTTTAGGAAAGGTGAATCTCTGTAAGTCTTCTTTCAGTATCTGTAACAATAGAAGAAATCAAAGAATGCTAAAAGTACTTGGCTGATACGATTAGCAAAGTGGTTCCAGCTTTGCTAATTCATCAACAATAGATTGTAACCTAGTCTCAGAATGTGCATCAAAAGGCAGCTCAGAAGTGTGCAAAGACAAAGAGTAAATGGCAATCTTTGAAAACAGAAAATACAAGTTACGGGAAACACTGTTGTTTCACTAGGGTTTTCTTCACCATTTCTTCTAATAATCTTATACCTTAGTAAAAACAGTGTGTCTGTTACAAAACATTGCAATAGAAGTCTTGGAATTTTAATGATTGAGCTGTAAAATGCATGGCAAATCAATTTAAATTATCTATTGAGAAACAGCCCCACTGCTTAATGGAAGTGCGTCCTGGACTTCTTTAATCTGAGATCATTACTCTAACTTCAACAGTGACTGTTTATACTTCATGATAAGGAGCATGGAGACATAATTAATCTGGTACTCGTGGAACTAGCAGTGGTCATAGTGAATTAATCTACCAGTCATATAGATGCCATATATACTTCCATAGGAGTTCTGTCATAACTCAGTATTAGTTAAATGTGCCATTAAAATAAAGTCATACTTCATGATCTGTGAAGCCATTAAAATGTCATCCAAAGTTAGTTGCTAATTATGAAGGATCCCTTCTCTTCATGGGGGGAAAGTCATCTTGGCAAGAGCATTATAGATTTGCACTTCTTTTGTTAGAGCAGACTGGAAATGTGGCTGAGGTGAGGGAGGATAAAACATTATGATAATTATGTCTTGTTTTGTGTTCTTCCCTGGCTTCCACTGTACTTTGTCTCTTTTCCATAGCATTGGCAGTGTTGTAAATTGTTATGTAGTGATTGATCAATCTGTATTAGGGTGTACACAGCCTTACCTGTCCAAAATGCTTATCCACTGTGGCTGGCTTAAACCTGCAGTCCAGGAGAGTTAAATTCTCTGCCTTCTCAATGATCACAATAAAGTTAGAGCAGGCAACCTAATAAATAATCAAAGGGTGGCCTCTGGCCAGCTGCCATAACTGTGTTATTAAGAATCTGTGAACTACCCTTCAATCAATGTAAAATGCAAGTGATTTTCGAGTATGAAGATCTAAAGCTGCCCTGGTAGGTGTCATGTTTAAAATAGGTTGTGGTTCTTCTGGTTTTAAGTCTGTAAATTTGCCTGATATATAGCATCATCTTCACAGTTAGTATTAATCAGTGTAGCTCTGTTTAAATCCTTGATGTTAGGAGTATTAATGCTTACAGACAATCTGACATAGTCTGGTCTGATATAGTTTCATATGAGGCCATGATAAATTTGTAGAGTGAGACATAATAACAAATAAAGAAATAAACCAGTTTTGTTTAAGGGAAAAGACAGTTTGGTCTTCAGGGAAGTGTCCTTTGTTACGAAAGGTTTTATTATTTCTCAGTAGTCTTTATTCTGCAAAACCATTTTAAATAAATCAAAACTGATCCCAGTAGATGCTAGTGGAAAAAAAAATGGAGTAAAAATGTCAAGGATAAAACAAGTAACATTCAGCCTGCATGCTCAGAGAGCTAAACCAATATTTCCAAGCTATGTTATGTTACTCTAAGTGGTACTTAAGCTACTGCTGCATAGTCCAAGGGGGCTACTCATCTGTGCCAAGATGCGCAGTCTTGAGAGAAAAGGAACCAAGGGAACAGGCCTTGTTCACTCTGTGGAAGAGGAGGCTTCGAGAGTACACTCGGGTGCTACCCATAGACAGATGATCAAGAGGACAGAGTTAGGTCTTTCAAACTGGTGCATAGCAGGAGGATATGAGTCAACAAGTAGAAGCTGAAATGACAGATTCAGGCTGGGTATGAAGAAAGGCAGTGAGGCAGTGAAGTAGGTTGCCCAGAAGTCTCCCCCGCAGTCTCCATCCTTGGGGACTTTCAAGGCCTGACTGGACAAAGTCTTTGAGCAACCAAGTATGACCACACACCCGATCCTGCTGTGAGCCGGAGGGTGGTCCCAGGATCTCCTGAGCTCCCTTCAAGACTTATCCTATGATCCTAAGCACCCAACCCCAGACACTTATCAGCTTCACACCCCCATTGCCAGCTGCTGGCTTTACTCATGAGGGTGAGCACTGACAGACAGCGTTGGATTCTTTTCACCAACTTTAGATATCTGGAAGTTGGAATCTAGTCTAGCAGAACAGACTGCTTTTATCATCAGCAAAGACATGATGCACAAATCATACTATCCTAAGCTGGTGTCTGAAAGAGTTGGACAACCTGCTCCCTAAAATTTCCTGCATCTCTTCATTATATGGGTGTTACATGCATTTTTAAGATTTTAAATTAAATGACCCCTTTAAGAGGTTAAAGAGCCATTAAATGGCTCTTTGCATTCATCTCTGATAGGACAGCTATAGATTAAGCATTTTTCATCTGGAACTGCAATATTATTTTGAAAAGTAGCCTGTGAAATACATATAGCAGCCTGCCTAAGAATACGAGTACCAAAACACCATTAAATGATAAATGAATCAATTGAGAGCATAATCTAGCAAAGGCAGTTAATTTTGTCCATTAGTTTCTTTTAAAGGGTTTTTAAATAAGCGGATCCACAAGCAGGTATGGAATAATCAGGACTTTTATTTTTTTATTTTCTGCTAATTCTGTTTAGAACTCTGGAAATCAGATATTCTGTGACTTTTACTTGATAACAACAAGCTCCGAAGAGCTTGCATGAGTCTATATTTAGGCTCCTGCAAAGATCAGCTGGGAATTCTGCAGCACACAGTAGCATAAGAATTGTCATTTGCATAACAGCAGATGAGTGAAGTGTGTGCTATTTTTTAACTTCTTATTGATTAATTTCCTTGGGATTTATCAAGTAATAATTGAAGCAGGGAAATCTTTCCTGGTAAGTTATTTAGTTTTTTAAATGCAATTAGTTTTTTACTGTAAAGTGTTTTTATTATATTAATGTCTAACAATCCAATTGTGTGAGGCAATGTGTAAACATGTGGGAGGAAGAAATAATCTCAGCTCTGGAAAGCTTGCAGTATAAATAAATAAATAAAGCTTGCAGACAAAAAGTGATAGAAGAACAGAGGGGCAAAATTGTGATTTATCAAGTGGCAAAATACAACTAGGACATTGATCACTTTAGTGCTGTTTTTGCACATTCATCCACTGGTTCATAGCTCCTCTGCAGATACTTTTGCATTCATTTTGTGGGCACATTCCCACAAAATGTAGCATCGTCCCCGCAACTCAGCTGAAGTCAGTGGATGGTGGGGACATTCAACTCTTTAGATTTCACAGCCCAGAATGTCTCATTTTATTGAAATTAATATTGGATATGAAAAATTCAATAGTAATATAAGAAACCATTCTAAAAACAGCACTGCTATCATGGCAAGGAGGGCAAGCCTGAAGACCTTGTGTCCACTGCAAGTTTTCACTTGTTTTCATGTATATTTAGAATGCTGTGCTCAGTCTACATACCAACATGTACAGCTTAATAGTTTAGTGTTTTTTGGGAAAGTATTCTTCATTCTTTTCTAGGAATATGGGAAATCACTTTGTTTCTTGTTTCTCTTCCCAAGGCTTGTTGTATGTTGGCTTTAGTGCCTGTATGTTTGGGCTCTACAGCTTCATGCCAGTGGTCATAAAGAAAACCAGTGCCACTGCTGTCAACCTCTCCCTGCTCACAGCTGATCTGTACAGCCTCTTCTGTGGATTATTCCTCTTCCACTACAAGGTATGTTGAAATAAGGGATGTATTTGAGTAATAGCTGTATACTTGTTACCAATTATCAGTGCAGAACAATGAAGCAAATCAAGATTCTAATGTGCAGATTTTTATATTCCATATTTCTTATACCAAAGCCAATTTTATTCTATGATTTCCAATTTCTAATTCAGTTGTGTTGTTATGGGTTTTAAGATTTGGTTACCTGTACAGCAGCAACTGAATCACTAATTTCATTTTACTCATCAGAAGTAACTTGCAACTGCTGTGACGAGATCCAGTATAATAGCTGAAAGGAAGGTATCCTATAAAGCATTAAAAAATTCCATATCTTTTTTTTTTTTTTAACATAGTGACAAGGTTGTGTCATTTCATGCTGATTATGAAATCATGACTTATAACTGTCCATGAACTTCACCTTTTTTCCCAGCTAATGTAATACACAATTAATTTTCCCCATTGCTTTCTTTCTTTTTTTTTCTCGTATGACTTTAAGGATTTTGAAGACACAAAACAAAAGCAGATATAGAAATTAAAATGAAAAACACTCTGTAGTGGCTACCAACTGTTTCACAGGTCTGTCTTTGCTATGATTTGATTCTCAATTCTTTGCACAGCAAACCTAAAATCCCAAGTTTGAATTAAGTATTAGTTGAAAATTGTTATCCCTGTTAATAATTTAGTCTAGGTGTGTTGGTCCAGTTTGTCCTACAAAAATGTCCACACAGTGGTGCAAAATGAAACTTTGCTAGAGGGAGACATTCAGAAGGCTGCAGGATTTGGACAGTTTTGCTCAAGCTTGACAACAAAAGAAAAAGGTGATGTTGCATAACTTAACTTTAAACTTCAGCACTTAAAATGCAGAAGATGCAGGAAAGTTTTCATCTTTTCCCTATGTGTGTAACTGCAGAAGGCAAGTTCTGCATGTTAGTAGAAGAGTGCTTTTTCAGCTTTCTTGATGCTCTTGATGTGCATGCAAGCTACCACAGTAGCACCTTGATCTCCCTTTACGACTCCTACTGAAAAAATCCTGTTACAGAAGGCTCAGACCTGGAAGATTTTCTGGTGGAAAACAAAGTGTCATCACCTACACAGACTAAATTTACTTCTGGATAATTTTGAACTGCTAGCTGTTGTGCCATGAGTATCCTTTAGCCTAAAATATCCCCATGTCTCCTTAGTATTTGCTGCATTGATACATCAGTAGAAAATAACTTCTCTAAGCTCTTAGGCTGCTGGTCAGAACCAGCCACATTCTCATTTTTAGCTCCTAAGACAAGCCATCCTGTCTCCTTGATCACCTACTCCTCTCTGCACCTCATCCAGTTTGAATTTATCTTTCCTGAGATAGTCCCTCCAAGTTAAGAAGGAGGGCAGCCCCTCCAGCACCTGTGCAATGCTCTTAAGGTATCTGCCTGTTTCTCCCGAGAACATTGCCCCAAAAGACCACATTTACTTTTAAGATCTCTGCTTTTACTTTGGGTAGTGTGCTCAGTCCTGTAAGACCCTTGTGTGTCACACTGCTGTTCATGTCAGCCAAAATGCTGGTAAACAGAAGAGCTTTGTCAGGGTTTTGTGCAAGGACTTTGGCCTGAAATGCAGCATCAATCTCTGGAGCTTTCAGTGCCTCCTTTCTTGCCCTTTAAGCTTACAGGGATGAGGAATTAAAAAAAAAGGGAGCTCTGTTTAGAGGATGTCCAGACTAAAAAGTCCACCTAATTATCTGTGTAGTTCTTTAGTTATCAAGTTTTTATCCTTAGTTCCTTTAGTCAGATCACCTTCTCTTCTTCCTTGTTTACTATCAGGTATCATTTTATATGAGGAAGTAGAACTGTGAAGTGTGCAACTTTCTCAACAGTGAAGTCTAATATGTTGGCCTTAAACCATCTCTATTAATTCCTCTCCTAAGACTGTGTACTCTGCTTGTTCTCCAGATTCAAAAAAACAGTTTCATTCCCAGACCAGCTGTACCTCTCCTTTAGATACAGTAAGTTCCTTCTGCTTATTGCTGCACTGACCGAGGGATGAAGTCCCACTTCACTAGGAAGCAAATGGTTTTATACTAAATTAGAATCAACCGAGTAGTTTAGTGCCCCTTCTAGAATATAGTTTTATGAGGCTTTCAAGAAACAGTTATGATTTTTTCCCCTATGCTGTTGCTTTTATCACCAGACGGGTTTATTGAACCCATAACAGTAAATCTATGAAAATCCACGGAAAATGTAGGAAATGAGTTTAAATTGGCTTTAGAGCGTCTGAAATCTAACTGTGGAGAAGATTACACTTGAAGTGTTTTGATTAGTTAGCATTTCATCTTTTTATAATGCAGAATTGCAACGTTTTGGCATACAGGATGGCAAGTTTATAAACACCTGCATTTATATTCTTTATCCTATACGTCAATATCTTTGTAGTGTGCTGAAGAGTTCCCAGGCATTGGCCTATGGAAGACAGGAATAGAGAATGGTACCTTGACACAGCTCTGGTGATGGGCTGATAATTCAAAATATTAGTTATTTAGTGTATTAAAATGCAATGATTTATGACTTTCAACTTGAGATAGACACTGACTGTAGGTCTAGATTGTGATGCACCGTTTTTAAATTGTTTGCATCCCCCATATAAAAGCTCTTGGAATGCTTTTAGTGCTTTTTTAATAAATGCAAGCCAAGTATTCCAATAGACAGGAAAAGACATCTGACCTCTTTGTGGCTGAATATTGGCTATGAAGTAACTTTTCTGCATATAGCTCTGTATCTTCATCTTCAATCCTCTTTTTCTTAATTCTAATCGTATTTATTTATTTTATATGTTCCAGATGTTCAAAACTTTCCTGACTATATGTTACTGTTTCATCTTCTTCTTGAACTTTTGTTCAAGTTATATCCTGCCTTGAAAAATGAAGGGCTTCAGAGACCTAAATCATAAAAAAAAAAAAAAAAAAAAAAAAAAAAAAATTTTTTTTTAAATTTTTTTTAAATTTTTTACATCATAAAAAAAAAAAAGGGTAAAAAAGACCTAAATCATAAAAAAAAAAAAAAAAAAAAAAAAAAAAGTTGTGTCTTTTATCTTTAATATCACACTTTACATCTTCATTTTGTGCCTATCAAGTTGATCTCTATGTTTGGGCTTTGCCTCATCTGTTGATTTCTGTGAACAACAGCAGTCACAGGAGTATTCAGGCTATGAGGACCATGAACATAAAATCTAGCCCCATTACATACAGCCTGGAGGTCCACACTGCCCTCCTGGTATGAGGAAACATCTTGCAATCTGTGCAGGAGATCCAAAGGGCTGTTTTGTTAGCTGGCTTTCAACTGTGTTTTCTCTGTCCCTGATGGTAAACAGATGTGGAGCCTTTGAAATGGGAAGATGCAGTATAAATGTGAGGAATATAGTGTACAGGGATGTCTAGGTATAGTATAGAGGAAATTAAAGATTCTGAGGTGATGACATTCCCTTTCTTAAAAAATCACCCTTGCCATATGAGATTCTGCAATAGCCATCGTTATAATGGATATACTAACACCACTAGTGCTAGGAAATTTAGGGCTGATTCTCTGGTTGTAAGGGATTGGAATAAATATGAACAACAGTTATTTTTTGGCTTGGAAAATATTTTGATGTTTTAGTCTCAGCCTTAGGTTTATTTTAATGTGAGATTTTAAATTTCATGCTTTTCATTTGCAAGCCGTATGTTGTACTTTAGACATTTTAAGCAAATTGCATTCTCACTAAATAATCTAAGCAGTTTATTTTATGTTTCCACCTGCTAGAGCATGCACACTGATTGGGTTCTGCACCAGCAGATCCAGTCACACTATATTACATCATTACCAAGAAAGCTTAAGCACAGTCAATTATATTCTATCTTGGCAAATTCATTCATTATTTTATCCAAGATTTAGCTATGAAAATTCTGAGTTTCTGGAAATAGTAACAATTTCCAAATGACGAAAATGCATATGTTACATAATAAATCAAGGGAGTCGGGTATCTTGATTTAGAATCATGGAGAGTAATGATGACAAAGCACTTCGCTGCACAAATAAGTAAGTTATTTAAAACCTTTCCAGCACTAGAGACCTAGAATGATGCTACCTGACACCTCACTTACTGATGGTTCTGAAGATGACATTTTAATGTTAATTATAACAGCAGAGTCTCCATGCTGTAAAGGAGCAGATGATAATCTTCCTGTTACATCAAGAAACATGCTATCAAGAACAGTGTTTTTTAATATAATGGAGAAGAGGAGATTGTTGGCTGCTATGTTTCAATTTCATTTTTGCTGGCACAGATCCTAAGCAATGCCCATGAATTATGCATTTATATAGATCTCACTGAGATGACTGTCTTGCCCTTACTACAAATTCAGGAGAAGAGTTAGAAGAATCCATTAAAAGAGCGTTCTTTACCAATCTGATCCAAGATCACCAAAGCTAGTACAAGGTTTTCTGCTGACCTCAATGGACTTTAGTTCATGCCTTAGATGAGGAAGGTTCAAGGGAGAGGAGTTTGTCTGTTAGCTTATTTTTCACTTGTAGTCATTCATAAACATCTAATTTCTCTAAAATATCTCACCGTGGCTAAGAAAATACTTCAAATCTGGTGCTTTTTACCTTTATACTCAAAGATAAGTATGCATTGAAGTCAAGGTCAGCAATAGTCTTTTTTTTTTCTTGACAACACTTGTTAGTGGATTGACACCTAAACTTGGACGTTGGTGGTGTGTGTGCTGTAGGCATTATCATTATTTCAAGCAGAGCAAGCTGTACAGCCTAAACAATTAGGTTTTAAAGAATTACTTCCTCAATCATATGTGTCAGGATATGTCCCCTAAGAAATCAGATATGCAAAGAGCCTGACCCGTAAACTCTATTTGCACGGAATTTAGTCTCATAGAGCGTTTTTCCTAGTGAAGTTTGCTGAATGTTTGAGAATAATGATGATAAATCACCTTGCTAGCTATTTTCTGTACCCCTGATATGTGCAGAAACCTAAAAGCA